GAGCATGTTTCCATCCCATGCATCACCGTCTCGTTTTAAAAACTTCGCTGATACGCGCCTAGAACTCGCGTATGGACTCCCGAAAAAAACGCGCAAATTTTTTTGGCAGGGAATGACTTTGTGGTCCAAACAAGATAGAAAGTTGAAATTTTGCAAGGATGTTTTCTGTTCATGTGTCAGCTTAAGATTTCAAATCCAGCTGAAGCGCGCGCCCACACCACTCGTACGGTTACGTCAAAGTTAGCAATTTGTACCTTTGCTAACTTGAAAACAAGCCGGAAAACAGTAGCTGGAATTTTATCAGAATATTTGCTGTCCGTATTAGATGGTTCGAGGCCCGCGTGCATCGTTTCCTCTCACCGACTGAGTGCCTTGCATCAAGTGAACTGTTCCCGTCATTGTTGGTGATTTGTGAGTCCTTCACTCTGTACCTCATTATCTTGTTTAATAAATCCCCTTTCATTATTATGTTGAACAGCACCCCACTTGGTTTCTTCGGTCCATCGACACTGTCACACGCGGTACCAAACTAGCGAAGTGACTATTTTGCTTACCAGACAAGATGCGAAAATTAACTTTGCAAGAACATTCTATATTTGCGCATGGTCTTAATTCAGCTCGGGGGGTGAAATTGCAGGCAGACATGACAAAACACTCAGTTTTATCGCACGCTCAAAAGCGAGTGAGTTGTGCAGATTTCATAACCCTCTCCTGGTTTCCTCCAAATCTGCTTTTTTATGCGTTTTTTGCAACAATGCAATGCGAACCCAGGCTGGAACGCACCGGGCGAGCCCGTGCGATCACGCGTTTTTGCACAGGACTTGAAGTACTCAGGTCATCAACTGCATGAATGGTTGTTGCTTTACACCTACCTTTTGTGATCCGTTGCATAAATCACCATAAATTTTGCATAAAGTAGATGTACGATTTCCATTTAACGATCGTTCTTTAAAAGTAACCTAGCTGCTCAGCCAGATATTCAGCCAAAATTTTAAATGCCCGTACTTAAGAACCATGCGTACCTCGAGGCTGAATTTGAAATACTTAAGTTGTACTTGGAAGACATCCCCCCTAAAGTTTCAACCTTCTGCCTTTTTTAGTTGCCGAGTTAGTAATTTTTCCGCAGAAGCTTTCTTAAGTCTTAAGAACCACGCGTACCTCAAGGCTGAATATGAAATACTTAAGTTGTACTTGGAGAGGGAACATCTAAGAACCACGCGTACCTCAAGGCTGAATTTGAAATACTTAAGTTGTACTTGGAGAGGGAACATCACCCCTAAAGTTTCAACCTTCTGCCTTTTTTAGTTGCCGAGTTAGTAATTTTTCCGCAGAAACTTTCTTAAGTTCTTGCGTAATTACCACGCATAGCTTGGGGTTGAATTTGAAATGTTTGAGTTAGCACTTGGACAGGGAATATTCTCCCAAAATTTCAGCCTTCCAGCTTTTCTGGATGCCGAGTTAGCAGTTTTAACCTTAGAACTTTCAAACGCCCTTGCGTGAGTACCATGCAC